CAAGAGAGCGCTTTGGACTGTGGGACTTGTGGAAGAGCATTGTTAAGGTTGCTCTGATAATGAGGTGCTAGGCAAAGCCAGAGAGCTGCCTGCCATGGTCCCGGTTCCTGCTCTGTGAGTGGAGGCAGTCCTCCTCCCAGCGAGGAGCATGCTGGGATTTGTGGTGTTTCTACCAGAGCTCCTTGAAGGAGGCTTCAGAGGGCCAGGCGCCCTACAGCTGAGCGCTTATGATGAAGGTGGGCTCAGCTGCTCAGTCCTGTGTTTCTTTCCTCCCCTTCTAATGCAGATGAAGCCCAGGAAGCAGAAGCGGTTCAGATCCTGACTTCCATCCTGAACTTCCGAGAATCAACTTCTGACACATCACCTCAAAAGACTGTTTTTGTTCTGAAAACTCTCATCATGCTTTACTATCAGATGATGAATTCTTCAAAGGCAAGTTTTCCCAGAAAATCAGCATATCAAAAATGGAGATAGGGATTTGCTTAGTATATGGATTCAGCTGTGCTTTGCAAGGCCCCACTAGCTTTTGGCCTGACAGCAAGCCCTCCCTCTATAATAAAGTCCAAATGCTCATGACATTTCTCATGTGTTGAGTCCAGCCTATGTGATAGAACCTGGATTGCCTTCTTCCCTCATGGGAAACTTCCAGGCTTGAACAGGTGAACTTAGTTTGGAGCGGTGGCGGAAAGCCTGAAGGGCAGTGGGCTCGGGCAGTCCTGGAGAGTGAAGTGGCCACTCTGACTACACTTGATTACCCAGGTCTCTGTTAGTGCAGGGGTTCAGGTGGGAATGAATTGCTGTTAAAAAGATAAGAGGGTTAGGGTTGGGGTTATGGTTATCATATGTCAGTCAGTGGCTTAAGCCCTTTACATACTTATCATATTTAATATGATGGTTCTCATAACAACTTTGAGGTTGGTATTTTATTATGTCTACTTTACAGAAGTAAAGGAAACTGAAGCACAGAGAGGATCAGTTATTTGCCCAGTGTCTTACAGATAGTAGTGGGATCTCTCAGGTTTACTAATTTATTGATTGACCAGTTTGCTCCTTTATTCACATATTTATTGAGTGTCTGCCATTTGTAAGGCAGTATTCTAGGGACTGGGGATACAGCGGTGAACAGCCAGAGGAGTTCCTTCTCTCCAGGGAATTTAGGATGTGGGGAGAAGGGAAACCACAACAAACAAGTAAACATATAAATGTGTAGTATAGTTTCAGAGAGTGAAAAGTGTGATAGAAATAAAGCAGGCAGGGAAGAGAGAGGGTGGGAAAAGCTGTTTGGAAGGGACCTTTCTGGTGTGGGTAATGTGGAAAATTTTAAGATATCCTTCCCCCTTCCCTCCTTCCCTTTCTTCTTTCTTTCCTTTCTTCAGCAGACCCTAACTAACCACCTGCTGTACATCACGGCCTGGAGGAGCTCACAGTCAGGGGTTAGAGTAGAGCGTGGCAGAGCAGCCCAGGGCACTGTGGGAACACAAAAGAGGCCTGACCCTGACCAAAATATGCGCAGGAATGGTCAAGAAATAGGGAACTTTTTCCACCACATTTTCCTGTTTACATTGGACAAACCTCTTTCCACAGTGCCAGGCCTAATTTTGGAAGTAACTAGCCAAGGCATGTTCTGAGTGTTAGGTCTACAAGAGGTCTTTAGACAGAAGGGACACATCTGCACACCAAGATTGGTGCCGAGCTTCCTGCAGGTCTTCACTCAGCTCTCTTTTTAGTGCAGCTTTCCCTGGCCTCCCTCTCTACAATTACAAAACCCCACTGCCGCCTCCAATGCTTCCAATCCCACTTTTTTGCTTTATTTATTCTTTAACACATTTTACTACTTAAAATACTATTATGTCTTACTGTCTTTCTTCCTCACTATATTATAAATTCCAAGAAAAGAATTTCTGCCTATAGTCACAATAAATATTTATTAGCAAGAAGGAAGGAGGGTATAATTCCAGCTACTTAAGAGGCTAAGCAAGAGGATTGTAAGTATGAGGTCAGCCTGAGTAACTTAGTGAGACCCTGTCTCAAATGAATAAATAAAAAGGTATCTTAGTTATGTGTTGCTGAGACAAGAATATCTGACACCTGATGTTAGAGGAAAGGTTTATTTAGTTCAGTTTGTACAGCTTTCAGTTAATAGTTTGCTGGCTCCAAGGCAGGGTGGCATGGAAAGGTGCATCACAGAGGAGAAACAGTTAATGTCAGGCAGAAGGCAACAAAAGCAGCAAGTAGCAAGTGACCACAGCAGCCCTCTTTCTGTCCTTTATATTCTATCCATGCTACTCATGGTGGGGTGCCCTTAATCCTAGTGTTGCACCATGAATCAATCCTAGCACCACATCTTTAATCCCAGCATCACACACTCTAGATCCATCCACCTCTGAAAAGCCTACCTATGAGCACATGAGGCTTTGGGGGGACATCTGTATTCAAGCCATAACAAAAGGGAAGAAGAAAGGGAAGGAAGAATAGAAATTCCCAAGTTGTCTTGTGGGACCTTTATCTAAGTAAAAAAGGCTGGGATGGTAAATTATCCCCCAGCATGGTACTTTATTTGTGTCAATGCATTAGTCACTTCCCTGTCGCTGGGGTAAAATACCTGACACCTGCAATTTAAGGATAATACGTTTATTTTGGCTCATGGTTTCAAAACTTGCAGTCCATCGTTAGCTGGCTCCATGCGGATATGGCATGCGGGAAGGGCATGGGGAAGGAAACTGCTTACTTCATGGTGGCCAGGAAGCAGAAGGAGATGGGTGGAGCTGAAGACAAGCATATACACCCCTCTAGGCCACACCCAAGTGACCCACCTCTTCCAGTCAGGCTCCGCCTCCTAACAACATATTTAGCTACAAACTCGTTAGATTAATCCACTGGTGAGTACAGTGCCCACATGATCCAATCGCCTTTCAAAAACCCCACCTCCAAACAGGAGACTTTTGAGGAACATTTAGATCTAAACCATGATAGGGATCTATCACCTCTATGCCTCAGTGTTGGTCCATAGGGCTCCAATTAAAATCCTATGAAGATTTCACTTTGCTAAGAAAGTATACTTATTTATACTTAGTTTTTCAAGCCATGTGGATTTTCTCACCCAGCAGCGCATGTGAGAAGGTAATGAGTTCTCACTCATGTTTCTGGAGATAACCACAGGTAGGGCTTCCCAGTGTTATACTTTCTTGTAATAATGTCCTTCCATCATTGCAATTCTATTTCAGGCACAGGAATATGCCACGAGAGCCCTCACACTAGTCAAAGACCAGGAGCTTGATGTACAAGAGCAAAACAATATTCAAGAGTTACTCAGTCTCATCTCAGCTGAAGAAGATCGTCCCATCTCCTAGTGACCCACTGGCTCTGTGTCAGGGGCTACTGAATACCTAGCACCTTTCAGCTGAAGTTTGCACACTCTTCCCTTGGGACTGTGCATATAGCTGTGGTTCTATCTGCATATGTGAGGGAATATAGAGCTTTAGGTGTAGAAATCAGTAAAACTTGTTTATCATGATCTTGTGCTTGGTTTATCATAACTTTGTATGGCCTTCAGTAACACATAGTCAGATTACTAATAAGGTGTTTGTAATTAAACTGTAAATAATTTGTCATATTTCCAAGTCATCTCTTAGTGATGCATATTTAATATACCTGTGCCAAGTGAGGAGATAAGAAATAAAGCTATATTGGAACAGCACTTCTCTATTCTTCAGAATCAAGTTAAAATTAATATGCGGTAGAGTGTGATAAAATACCCATTATAGTTCATAGAGCAATCACTCAGAAAATAACTCTGAAATAGTTTAAAAATAACAACAAGAGGATCAACATCGTACACCAGAACATACCCACTTAAAGCAAGGCAGTAAAAGAGAAATAGAGGAACAAAAAGGACATGAAATATAAAAAAGAAATAGCAAAATGCAGACATAAATCAGAAATAAAGCCTTCATATGTCCAGGGAGTCCCAGTGAGCGCTGGCTGAGACAGCATTGTAGGTTGGTGTCTTTAACTTGGACAATACTGTGAAGCAGAGGTAAGCATTGTGTACTCTCTAGGGGACAGGCACTCTGCAACAACCCCTGTGGGGCACAGGATGGAGTGCAGGCCTTCATGAGCTTGATCTCCCCATAGCTTCATTCATTATTGTAAAATGGACAAGATGTTGGCTATGCCTGCATCAGTTTGTCAGATCTTGATGACTTTAGACATTTAACACATTTTTTTTTCCTCTCAGCTTCTCTCCAGACTTACCAAGGATAACTTTGCTTCCTTGGTAGATCTGCACCCAAGATTTGCAAGTCAAGAACCTTTCAGATAGCTTTATGTTCCTCACTGTAAATAACTCACTCAGAAAAAAAATTCACTCGGATACATATAATAATATGTTAGATGAGTCACTCTGCTCCTTTGTGTAAAATCAGCTGGAACCTCCATTCCATACCTTTGGGCATTCTTACCCATCTTCAAGATGGCTATGAAGCTCCAGGGGCTTACTTGTCTGCCAGCTATCTCTCCATCCACTTTTCAGCTTCAATCTGAGTCTCACTCTCCAATCTACACATAGGACAGAGCCCTTTCTTGTTTCTCACTCTAACCCCAAATATGAGTCAGTGCTTTCAAAAAAACACAGTGAAGATTGGAAAAGGATCAACAATTCTACAGCAGGTAACTTAAAAGAAAATATTAGAATTTTCCCATTCCAAAAACATCCTTTAAAGTTCACATCATTAAACACTGTCTTCTTTACCATTGTTGTTTTCCTTTCCTTCCTTATCTATTCTCTGTTCTCCCCAATTCTGAACTCTTGTTCATTAATCTTTTTGCACTATTTTCATAAAATTATTCTTTAAATTATTAAAGTTTACTGTCTCTGTTGACTGATTTTCTCCTGGATTCTAGGTCATTATTTTCTGCTTTTTCACATGTCTAGTAATTTAATTTTCAATATTTCTTCTTTTCTAACACTTGCATGTTAAGGCTATAAATTTTCCTCAAAACAATGCTTTAGCTGATACTACCTATTTTGAAATGCAATTTTAATTATTCTACATAGTTTAAAATTCTTTTTATGGCTCATGCTCATTTAGAAGTGTGTGTCTTAGTAAGGTATCACTATGACAAAATATCTGAGATAATCAACATAAGTTGGAAGGAAGGAAAGGAGGAAAAGTTTATTTGGGTTCATTTATCTTGACTAAAGCCTTTTGGAGATTTCAGTCCATGATCGCTTGGCTTCATTATTTTGGGGCCTGTGGTGAGCAGAACGTGATGGTGAGCAAGTGGTGGAACAACGCTGGTCACCTCATGGCAGCCAAGAAACAAAAAGAGAAGGAGGGAGGAAAGGGACTAGGATCCCACTGTTCCCTTCAAGGACACACATGGGTAAACCAACTTCCTTCCACTAGGTCCCAGCTCCTAAAGATTCTGCCACCCCCCAGTAGTGCCATAGGCTGCCAACCAAGCCTTTAACATATCAGCCTTTCAGGGACATTTAAGACTCAAACCACAACAGTATGATTTCTTGTTTTCTAAAAGACAGTAATTTTATTTGATGTTGATTTCTAGCTTATTTTCTATAAGGCTCTTGAACATGCTGTTTACAATTCTGATTTTTAGAAATTGGTTGAGATTAGATGACAGCACAGGATATTGCCAATATTTGTAAATGTTCTGTGTGTGCTAGAAAAGAATGGATTTCCTGGGAGCAGTGTCCTATATGAGCCCATTAAATCAAATTTATTTATATTTTCAAATCTTGTATATGTCTGCTGAATTTGTTTATTCTGAGAGAGGTATGTAAAGTCTATTTCTCTTGTAGTTCTATTAATTTTTGCTTTATATGATTTAAAACTTTGCTATTAGGCATGTACATATTTTACTATTATTATACTTTCTTGGAGAATGTTTTGGTATTTTGAAATGATTTTTTATGTCTAGTGATGCCTTTGGCATTAGAGTCTATGTTACTATAGTTAAGCACATTTCTTTTGGGGCTGGATGACATCTTGTCAATTGGGCATCATAACTATTGCCTTTATGACTTATTTCTGCTTCAAAGGAGAGATTTAGAACTATAATTCATAACGTTGCCTTCCTTTTATTTATTTATTTATTTTTTTGGCACTGGGAATCAAACTCATGGCCTCAGGCTTGCCAGGCAAGCACTTAAGCCGCTGAGCTATACCCCCAGCCCTGCCTTCCTTTTTTGAGTATGGATAAAATTCTGCTAATGAGGGCCAAGTTCCAAGATTTGGAAGCTGCATAGGAAACAATCATTAATCTTCCCGAGAATTTCTACTGTTGTTTTTCTGAAAGATTTCCTATGGAAGCAGCTTGCTGATTTTTGTTCCCTGATCTTTATTACCTGGTCACTTGAAAGACTGTGTAAGCCTCTAATTCCCTTTATTAAATAGATCTCTCTTCAAAATGCCTAAAGTGGCTTCTATTTTTCTGACTAACCCAACTGAAACACTTGATATTTTTTTCTTCTAACCTTTTGCTTTCATGGCCGGGCGTGGTGGCACACGTCTGTAATCCCAGCACTCAGGAGGCTGAGGCAGGAGGATTGTTGTGAGTTCGAGACCAGCCTGGGCCACAAAGTGAGCTCAAGGCCAGCCTGAACTTTGGAGTGAGACCCTGTCTCAAAAAAGACAAAAAAACCCCACCAAAACCAATAACCTTTTGCTTTCAATCTCTGTCCTTACTCTTTAAATACATCTCTTATAAAAAATAGCATAATTAGGGTTTTTTACATGTTTTTCTTAAAAAGTCATTTAATCCGTTTATATTTTGCGTGCATGCTGAATTATTTGGGTTTAAATCTATGATCTTATTTATGTACAGTCATCCCTTGCTATATCGTGGTTCACTTATTGTGGCTTCACTGTATCATGGGTTTTTTTAAAAAAAATCTAATTCTGTATTATGGAGTTTTTACTATATTGTGGGATTTTCTGGTCTATAGGTATTTTTATATAATATTTATGATTTTAATTATTTTTGCCTAAAAATTTTAAAATATAAAAATATTAATTCAAACATATTAAAAGAATATTAAATCCAAATAAAATATAGTATGTATTTCATCAGCAGATGACTACCATACTGTACCCAATGGAAATGCAGTATGCCACTACCGCTTGTGCAAGTTTGTCAACATGAGATTGTACACGGCACACTATTGGCTGATGGAACGGAATGCGACTGACCACAGCACCATGTTCTGTATCCTGGGTGCTGATTGGCTCAGTGACTGTAGCATTATTCTGTTTGCTCTCCCACATTGTTCCTTCAGAAGAGCCGTAATGCTCTTCTCGGCTGTGCAGTCCATTCATCTCATTGTCACCTTCATCGCCATCATTACTGCACAGCTACATGATTCATGATCTTCTTCATTCAAGTTGTAGAATACTTCATTGGTGAGTACCCATGTAAATTGTACATGTTGTTAAAATGACGTAGGTTTAAGAGTGTAGAAAGTGTTTAAGAGCACGTGTTTATAAGAGTGTGGGAAAGGTTAATAAGAGAGTGGGAAAGGTTTATAGGAGTGTGGGAAGGGTTTATAAAGCCTTAATGTATATAATAAAATAAATATAACACCTCTGCTTCGTGGATTTTCACCTATCCCGGGGGTCTCTAGCGTAACTCCCGCGATAGGTGAGAGATCGCTGTATTCTATTTGTCCCGTATGTTCTCTTGCTGTCTCTGTCTCTGTCTCTGTCTCTCTCGGGATTTTTTTTTTACATATTTTATCTCTTCCAATTTTCTCCCAGCCTCTGTTAATTTGTTATAGCCTGTATTTTTTAGTTTTTTCAGTGATTACCTCAAAAATGTAAGGATTCATTCATTAACTTCTTAAAAGTTATTCAAAAAACCTTAATTTTACAAAACACAGCCTTTAGAACCTCATTACATTTGCCTCCTTCCAAGTTAGATACTATCATTGTTATTTCAAATAGCTTAAGCCCATGTCATAATATTATTGTCCTTGCTTTACAACATATCTGTTCTTGCTTTACAGCAGCTTCCTGATATCGAGGCTCTTGTTACTGATAAAGCTTTTAGTACTTCTTATGAGGGTTTGCTGATGGTAAATTCTTGTATTAATCTGAAAATATTTTATTTTGCCCTCAGTTTTTAATTCTTCAATGAAAATGTATTTCATTTTCATACACAGTACATTAATGAATGAAATAATTTCAGTTCCAAAGAGCTCTGTGAAATATGGCCTTCTTCACCCCAAAAGTACACACAGGTTGAAGAGAACCGGGAGCTGTTGTACCACTGAGGCCCATCACTGAGTATCTCACCTCCCCATCAAGCGACGCTATGTCTCCTAAGTCTCCAGCATTTGCAGGGGGCAGCTGAGGCTATGCCTTGAAAGATCTGGTTAAATGTTTTTTCTACTGCAAGGGCATATGCATGATCATAAAGTATATCATGCTGTCTGTAAAACTCTAACAAAAATTCACTCTTGAGTAGCTGCTCTGTACTCTTACTCTATAACATTTTATAATTGCACAGACCTGTGCTTTGCCATAGGTCCTCAGATGACTATGATTAGAACCAAATTTCCCCACCACAAGTGGACCTATGTCCCACTTCAGCTACACATGCAAATGAGGTCTTCTGTATCACAGTGACTATAAGGTATGACATCTCTTAAGCACAACAGGTCACACAGAATAAGCATTTGGCAAAGTTATTCTGTGAATGACAGGAATGTTCCATCTTTTTACCAGAAAAAGTATATCTTTCCTTATACTCATCAAGATCAATGGCAATGTGATAAATATTTTATTTATTATATATATGTACAAAAGCACATAATTTAGTAGCTAATATATAAATAAGCAGGAGCACGTTTCAAAAGCATAGAACAGGGTTACTATTGGGACCAGGATACATAGAAGCAAGACTATGTAGTATAAACATTGTTCCTTGCTTGTAAATTTTTGTCAGGATTGTAGGTCTGCCAGAACATCTTAATGAACATGGCCAAAAATGAAAAAATTAGTTTTCAATGAAAGAAGATGGCTCATAGTTTGCAAGGGAAGTTTTACAAGAAACCAAATTGGATATAGAGGTTGAAGAAGATAGGAGCCAAAAATGACCCCTGGCGTTTGTTTATTTATTTATTTTTTGGTACCGGGAATTGAACGCAGGACCTTGCGCTTGCCAGGCAGGCGCCTGTGCTGCTCAGCTATATCCTTGGCTTTCCTGGAGTTTTTATTTTCTTTTGTTTTTCTGGTTTGAGCAAGTGGTTGGCATTGTGCACGCAGGCGAGCAAATGCTGAGGAGGACAGCTGTGTGTGTGTGTGTGTGGAGGGTCAAAATCTGCTCAGGGCATGGTGACTTTGAGATACTTAGGAGGCAGCTGGGGAGAGATGAAAGGTGGGCAACTGGATACACAATCTGATGAGGAAAAGCAGCTTGTGTTCAAAAGAAATTTGAGACTATCGTGTAGCTGGTCATTAATACCATGGGGATGGAGATCACCTAGGGATGAAATACAGCTAAGGAAGAGAGCAAAAGGCAATGTGTGAGGGAACTGGACACTTTGGGGAAGAGGTGAGCCCAGCACGGGGCTGATACAGTTTCAGATGTATTCACTCATACAAAGATTCCTAGGAAACATTTAACCCAGACTCCCCAAATGTTAACAACTCCTACTGTATTTCCTTTATCACTTTCTCTTTATAAATACTAATTGTCTTCTGAACCATTTGAAAGTAAGTTGTAGACATGATGTCTTTTCAGCCTTTAATATTAAAAGTATTTGTTTAAAAAATAAGGACACTCTCATACACATTCTCATCTATCCAGTCACCAAAGTCAGGAAACTACATGGGTATGATGCCCTCAGACAATGCAATACAGACCAGATTCAAGTTTCACGAATTCCATTGTCCTAATAATGCCCTAGATAGCAAGAGAAAATCCTGGGGCTGGAGCCCTTTAGTTGCCATGTCTCTTCAGTTAGGCGTGTGTTTAGATGTGACACAAGTGCTGCTACTCAAATATTCTGTCATTTGTCTCATGGGAATTGCAGCCAGTTCTTAAAATGAACGTGGATACAAATGCCCTAGGGAGATATAAAGAGCTGTGAGTCACTGAGCGTACACAGACTCAAGGCTGGCAGAAGAGCTGCAACCCTTGGGAGAAGCCTTGTTCCTGATCTAGAAAGCTATAATGAAAGCAGCAGCCAGTAGAAAAGCAGTGGGAACCAGGTGACAGACAGGTGGGTCCAGCAGCAAGCCAGGAGAGTCACAGGACACTGCAAATAGGAAAAGGGAAGCAATCCCAACCTGGGGAGGTGTCTGTAGTCAGCCTACAGGTCTCTCTACCGGTGCACTTTATGCCTTCTGCACTTTATGCCAGAGCCACAGCGAAGGTGGTGGAGAAGCAACAGTTCAAGGGTCTTGGGCCTGGTGCTGACCATAGATTTGTTCCCAAAGTTCTTAGCACTTCCTCCCGGAAGCCTCTAGAAATGTCAGGCGAGCACAGGCCTGATAGCCCTATCTCTTGAGTTCTCTGGGTGGGCCCAGCTTCTTCCAGTCCCCTGGGACCTCTGCCTGCACTGCACAGCAATTTTTCACAGCTTTCAGCTCTCTCTTGCCATTTGAATCTTAATTCAAGTGTCAGTCCAGGAGAGCGTGCTGAGCAGGCCCTGACAAGCTCCTACCATCTGCAGTAACACTTTCCCCCATCATCTTGACAGTTGAGAGCTGGCAATATTACAATTCAGACAGCACTCTGTGTTTGAAAGGAAAATTATGGTTTTTCGGAATGCAGCTGGTGTGCAAATGAATAGGACGGAGTTACTATGAAGAATTTCTTTCATTTTACGATATGAAAATAATAACATGTACATTCAGTGTGTGATTCTTACTTTAAAAGAACCAAAAGGCACAGAGTTTGAGGAACAAAGGCAAACAAAGCATCCTGTTCCACAGTAATAATTTTAATAAGAAGCAAAAATAGCAAAACAATCATTTATAAATGATTTCTTCTATGTTGGAAGAGTTAACATTGGTATTGCTGTATAAACCACTTGGAAATGAACTATTTTGGTGCCTAGTTAAGATCTATTCTTTAAAGCACATTTTCATTTTGCCAATTAGTGTGCTTTCACTTTGCTAACCATGCACTTTCCTGAAGGGAACTTAGCTGGAATACCTCCTCCCCCCCAGGTGACACTGACCTCATGAATCACAGCAAAGGGAAAAGGCAGATTTTTTTCATGTATGAAAAACACAGAAGCTGTTTTACACACATACACATGCACACACACACACACACGTGCACGCACACACGTAGAAGTAGTGTTTTCAATGAATAGGCTGCACACAATTTACCAGAACCCTTGCTTCGGAGAAAACCTTCACACTTCCGACCTCCCTGGAGCAAAAGTGTGTCAGTGCTTACGTGTCTGTTTCTCTGTCTCCCAGGAGTGGTGGTGCGCTCACAAAAGCTTAACAACCCGTCACCAGCGTGGTGTCTTTGAACGGTGGAGTTGGGAAGAGAGGGGCAGTGGCACACAGTTAATTACACAGCATTTCCACCACATAAATGCGGTAGATGTCAATAGCCTCAAAAACACAAATGGTAAAATAACTAGGAAGTTCATGAGTTTTGAGTTTTTCTTACCTATGTTTTATTTTGTTCATATAATTTAATGTGTAGTAATGGCTGTGTTTAATAACCAGCTCACAACATTCCCGAAAATTTAACCATCTGCTCTCTTGGCCGGTACAAACCTGCCTGGGTGTATTTCTGGAGCTCAGGGGCCCTCCAGGTGGACCTAAACCCACCAGATGCTGCCCAGTCCTGCCATCACAAAGAACTCTGTCAGCTCCACGGAGTGATTAAGGGCCACCAGCCCTACCCTTACAGGACATTGGTATCCTAAATAGGAAATTCTGGGAGTCCCGCTCAGAATAGGACCAGGACAGCAGAAGTTTAGCTACTTTATCGGCTAGTTCTATCTATCTCAGGACTACCAGCGCTGCCAAGTGCAGGTGCTGCTGTCTATCAGTTCCCTGCACAGCCCCAGGCTTCCTGCACTCCCCTCACCCTGTTTGATAACGTTGAATTCAAGTCCCTGGCACCTCCTCCTTCCGTTTGATGCGAAGCCAGTAAACCTAATACAGGAAGAGCCCCCTCCCCGAAAAAAAGTGCTAAATCACTCAAGGTCAGGCTGCTCATCAGCTTTTTGTCTGAGGCAGCCTTTCCTTCAGGATTTTTCTAAGTGACATACACCCCCTATATCTTGCATATAGCATCGTAGACTCTCAAGGATGGATGAGACCTTCCTATCATTAAGCTCAAGCGACAGCCTGCTTGAGCAGCCGCCAGCCCTACCCAGCATCCCCACTCCCAGCTGCAAAGCTGCCGGCTGCCAGCTTTTATCCCTTGGCGCTGAGCCACTACACGGGAAGGCTTGTGGTTGCTCACAGTGCGGGCAGCCAAAGGAAAGGAAACCGAAGTACGTACGTATTCGAGTGTTTCATTTTCAAGATTATGTTTACCGACTGCAGCAGACGTGTCAAAACTAAGATTTAGCAAGCTGAGGTGACTGTCCTTGAGGTCACACAAGCTCTAGCTTATCTGAGTCCGGTTTTGAACCCCACTTGACTCACACTGGGGCCATTCCCAGTAGTCCTTTGCCTTCTGGGGGCATGCCCCAGCACGCTAGTGGTGAGCAGGGGAATCAGGACGCTGGGTTAGCATAGTGAGAATAAAACGTGTCACCTTCAGGGGTGGCTTTCGAGCTCCCTTGAGGAGGGAGCTGGCTTTGTTTGGGAAATTCTTTCTGTAAGCCACCAATGGTAATGATTGAAATCATGCAGGTAAGTGTTAGGAACCAAAATTTTAAAAGAGGAATGATGATACCTAAGAATGTAAGTGGACCTGGCATGTCCCAGGGAAGAGAGGGCAACCACGTGGCATGGCAGGAGAGTGGAGACTTCCTCACGGTCCGTGAAGATTCCGAGCGTGCTGCCAAGTCTGCATGGCTGCAGCGCCTGCCACTCCCTCTCCCATCCAGATGTGCGCACGCGTGCACACACATTCATTGGAATTTTGCCACGTGATGAGGTGGGGGAGGGAACTGAGCAGGGATGAGACAACACTGTTGCATACAATGAGGTAGCAGAGGTTTGGAATCACCAGTAGTTACAAAAAAATAAATCCCTTAGAAATCTCAGAAATCCAAGGGATCGGAATGGGAACACAGAACCATCGGATTTGAAGAGGTAAGGGGTTCTCAGCCGACGGCTTGCTGTCAGGGGGACACACTGTGGATTAAAGTGGGAGGAAACTTCTGACCTTGTTGCTGACTGCAACTGGAGTGTGTGAAGCAGACTCCCCTTAAGGTGCGCCTGATGGGAGTCCAAGAACACCAAATCCTTGGCCTGCAAGCCCCTTCGCAGTGAGAGGACATCCGCCAAAACGGGGCTGAGGAAGCCCTTGGTCAGCACGGCAGGGCCTTCTCCTCCACATCCTATCACTGAGCGTATGGTGGAGCTAAATGGTCTGGCTTACCCTGAAGAGGGTGCAGGACAGGAGCCAGCCTGCACCCTGGAAATCTCATGCGCCTTTGGGGCTCTCAGCTAGGTCCATGCAATGTTGAAGCACTGACAGGTGCCCATCATCACAACTGTCTGGAGAAGAGGATCGGCAGAGAGTGGGCCCAGGACAGCAGGAAGGGCCGGATGTGTAGAGGAACAGAACCCTCTCTGGGTACTGACCTGGAGGGAAGTCACACTGCCTGGATTCAGCCTTGCTGCTGACTGGCTAAGTGACTGGTTTCTGCAGCCAGATGCCCGATCTATAAAACGGGGACTAGACTACTCTCCAAGTGCTGCTACTCCTGTGACCTCCACTCTGGCTCTTGGGGTGATTTTCCTAATGCTGCTTTCGAGTCCCAGGAAACATGAGCTCACAGAACAGGGTCACCAAGTAGGGCTGCAGTATCAGCCAGGGCTTGGGATAATGCCGCGTGTTGGCAGGAACTGTACCTGCAGGAGTCAGAAGGCATGAAGGAAGTTCACACTCAGCTGTGCGCACTGCAGGAGGGAAGGCTGCAGAGTAGGTCCGCAGATTTGGAAAGGGGAGTTATCTAGTTTTAGGGAAGGATTAAAATAATATATCCCCAAGGACAGTCTCCGGATAAAAACATTTTAAAGCGATCATCTGTTCTGCTCTTGAATATCAGAGGCGAAGCCAAAAGCAGCACCATGTTTTCTGTGAGGCTACAGCCCCAGATCTAAGAACATTCACTTTGGGGACAGTGACTCATAGCCGTTGTCAAGGTCCATCCCAAGACATCTGCACAGACTAACTGCAAACAGAGGCCTCACTTCCAGGGCAAAGGGCGGAATTACACTAAAGTGGCTTGTCTGATGTTGGATCCGTTTTCTGGCCTGACTCCCTTCACTGTCCTCAGTAGGTTGTGGCTCTTGGCTGCGCCCCCGCGGCACCCTGATCCATCCACTTCTGGGAGGGTCAGCTGTTACCTGAGTGGTCCTGGAACACCATGTCCCCATTAGCTGCTTCCATCTTCTTCAGATTCCTAGTGTTCTCAAAACCAGCATTCCTCAAGACTTAAAGAAGGGACGAGGTGTATCTCCCCACTTCCCCAGGTTGTATCCCAGTATCTTTATACAGGGCAGCTGGCTTCAAAGACACCTACCTGTATTCAGTACATGCACGATTCTTTCATTAAAATAACCCACAAAACAGCCATGTTTTCCTCTTTCCCACTAGAATCCCAAGTCATCCCAATTTTGTTTTTCTCACACAAAACTATCCCAGACCTCTCCTCTTCTCTTTCCTTCTTGCTGGATTTCAATCATCATGGACTCCCTTAGCTGAGAACATTGAGTCTACAACCGTGACGGTAATGGCTTATGATCCACTTACATTGTTTTTCAGATCCAACAGATCTAAAGCCCCCAGTCCATACTCTGTTCACTCCACACTCAAACAGATAGCATGAAATCATTTTTCCCAAGCGCAGAATCACGTATATTCTGAGCGACTGAGCTATTGATTGGCATTCAAGTTTTGACCAGTTTCAAGATGCTACTACTAGATAATGGGAAGACCATATACAGACAGAGTCTATGTTACATAAGGAAGACTTAGTTGGTGTACAAGAGTCAAGGGTTTTAGGTTATAAACAACACATCCAGAAGGCTCTTGGACTCTCCCAAGAGCTTTATTCCTTTCAGGTCGTAAGTTTCCCTGGCTGGAAGACCTCCGAGAAACTGCATTCCTTTCTCAGGGCCTCCACTGTTTGGTTTGTTGATGTCCGGAATTCATGGTCTCCTCCTTTAACTTCCGCAGAGGAGTAGTGATGATCAATTGTGTTAAATCCAGGTGTAGGTGGTGTTCTGTTACCACCTTCCACATAATGTACAGCCTCACCCACTGACTCACTGCCACTCAGTCCTGAGAGGCAAGCACAATAGGCCTTCCCCGTCTGAAGAGAGGGAAAATGTACACACAGAGCTCACAAGATTACACAAAGGTGCTCAACTGTTTCAGGAGAGTCTGTACCTTATGGTTTTCCTAGCAGGCGTGGGCAGCTGTGACACATGTAACTGGCCCACAGCCAGCTGTGGTATGGAAAATCCTGGAAGAGGCGGGTAAGATCCAGCTGTGATCCAGCTTTCTCTGTTTCTAGACAGGATTAATTCCAGACAATCATGCCAATGACACCAGATGTCACTACCAGCTGGGAAATGAGACTCTTATGGCAAAGGAACCTGGAGACACTCTAGTTTCTCTGCTCAGGATGGAGCTCAGCTAGCATCCTTTCAGACAAACTAGGGAGACGAGTTGTACACCAAACAGTGAAAAGAAATGAATGCAGCTTCCAAGAGGCCAGAAATTGTTTCAGATGTTTACACAGAAAGAATCTGATCAATTCCAGCAAGAACAAATCAAAAACTTTCCTTCTTCTAAAGCCACCCTGAGTGGTAAAGGTAAGGTACAGGGCCTTAACCTAGGCAAGGGTGAAGTATTATCAGTGTTCAACTGTACAAGACACATTGCTGGGTTACAGTTTGCATGCGCCCCATGGACTGCATCTAAACTACAACTGTGCTGCGTGACATCTCCAGTACATGGCACCAAATATTTTTCAGTTGTACAACTGTTACTTGATGAGATCTGGTTTTAACTACAATACTTTAAGAGCCAATTTCTACTTAAATGTGTTGTGAAAAATGTAATAGTTTAACTTTATACACATTTTCCATTTACAGCAGAGGAAGTACAGGAATTATGCACCCAAGTGGGTGGTGTTGCCTTCAAAGTAGTTACCGTGGAAAGATACATGTTTATTTCATGAAGCTCACATTATGCAGAACATTCCCAGAACCCTCCTTGGAAACTGTAACTTGTAAGCTTCCTCATGTTGGTCAATCTTTTCCTTTAAGGGCAGATCTATTTTTTGAGGACAATTTTTTTGTAACAGACAAAGGGCAGTAAGAAATAAGTCTGATAAATAAAATGGGTGTGGAACTTGCCACTACCTTAGCAGGAGGGAGATTAAAATACTGATAAGATACACTTGATGTTAACCAAAAGGCTGAGAAGCGATGAGATGAAAATAAAAAGCAAGGTCTGATTATAAAGTTGTGAGGCCTCTTTCCTCTCATGGCTTCAAAGATAACCCCAAAGAGGAATTCTAAGTGTTCTTGGCACATGAAACCCCATAGCTCGGGAGTACGGTCTCCCGGGGAATAACTGCAATCACGGTCACTCTTGAGTGTGTGTTCTGGAGCGTGTGGTAGGACTTCAGATAAGCAGAGTGGAAAGCTTCACCACGACTTCTCCCAAGGGGAACATCTGACTGCTGCTTGAGGAGTTAAAATGAAAAGCACTTGGTGTCATGTCTACATTAGCTTCCCTCCCCCAACGTGCAAGGACTAATTCCTGATACCTGAGTCTCCTCAGTCTGGAAACGAGGGTAAGGACAGGCTCTGGAGCCTGGAGAGAGGAGAGTGTCCGGGGGACTGGAGTGAGTTTCCAAAGGCTGGCTCTACCCAAAAGGCCCACAGAGAACCTCCTACCACTGTGCAGTACGTAAAGTCTCAGCAGAGGCCGGAGAAGAATGATTATCTTCTGGGAACTTTCTGTGCTAAAAACTCACTGGCTTCTGGAGGACAAGTGAACAGAGCCCGTTGAAAAGCAAGTCCATGGTGTTAGATGCCAGTGCGGCTTCAGAAACAAAGTGTGTGGCCACCAGCCCACTGATGTCCATTTCCAGCTGAGGCCAAAGGCAGCAGAGGTGCGAGAAGCTGCTGGAGCTGGCGTTAGTTGAAGCAGGGTGTATGAAACCAGAGTGGCAAAGCAATCTGTAAAAGTCCCGGTCACTAAGCAGGGCATATGCGAACCAGTGAGGTCAAAGACACTCACTCCCACTTTCTACGAAGTGCTGCGCTGTGAAGGCTAATGAAGAAGCTCCCTAAAACACCATCTCCTGAGTGTTGAATATGGTCAAGAAGGTGACTGAGAGGGAGCAGAGACTGGTCCTCCGACGGTGTTTCAGCTATGTATTTTCCAAGCGTCCCACACACACCGAGTGAAGAACACACTGCTGCAGTCACAGTCCACCTTGTCTGCACAGGCTGCCGGCTCCATTTCCCGGGCCGTTCGAAGTTCACGCTCTCTACTGTTAACAGCCCGAAACAGCAGCGCAGGGTCAGTGCTTTAACGTCTACCGTTCTACCCAAGTGCTCACAGCAGGCGTTAGTCTCAAACTGATCAGCGGAGGTGGTGCTAGTGGCGAGTGTTTTCATATCAGCGTCTGTAAAAACCACAAAGCTAGGCCATTTGCTCAAGTCATCGTTAGAAAGAATGCTGAGTGCCCAGATGGGATTTCTAGTTCCTGTGCAAATGAAATCACATTAGTCCAGACTTATTCACGTGAAACTACTAGGGAAGCAGTAGGATTTGGTTTCAATGCTGCCAAAAAGCAGGAATTCACTTGAGTTTTAATTCCGAAGCAATCCTGTTGTTAATGTTGTAGCCAGGCTCAGGCAGCACAGGGGGTGGGCCCCCCATGGTGTTTGCTGAGGACTCTCGGACCTCTCCCAGTTCAGGCTCACTCTCACTAGAGGTAGACCCATTGTTGATGGTGTAGACGCTCTCCGCAACTCCCTGAGCTGACGCACACCCATCTGGCTCTTTCTTCTCCCTGGAGCCTGACAGTCCCGGGAGCACAGCCATCTTCCCAGTCTGCCTGTTCGGCAGCAAGGACATGGAATAGTCTGCAATGATCCCTCCCACATCTAAGTTGCATGCCTGGTCGAAGGCCAGGAAGCCGACATTGGCATTTGCTTCACACACCACGAAGGAGCCATCGTCCATGATGAGAAGATCAATGCCACAGAAGTCCATGCCCAGGATGTTCGACACCTGAATAGCCAGCTGCTTGCCTTGTTCTGTCAGGGGGCACATGACGCCCACGCCACCTGGGAGGAAAGCACAGCCATGTCAAGGCGGCAGTGGATACGGGCTGAGGAGCCAAGTGACCCTTCAAAGAAGAGATAAGGACTGCTGACAAGGGGCAGCGAGACAGGCAGTGTCCTTGTCCACAAAAAGTCTGGATGGAAATCCGAACACCATTTGGGAAAACAATATGGTCATTTCTTACCTAGAGTCTTAAAAATGCTGGTATTCTCTGACCCAAACATCCTAGCACTAAAAAACCAATTTTATGTATGCAAAAAACCTTCATGCACAAAGATGCTGATGGCAACACTATTTAAAACATTGGAAAATCATGGTCCCTGGTACATAGGGGGCTTTCAGTACATATCTGTCAAGTGAAGAGATAAAAAAGGATAATCTAAGTATCTTACAATGGAAGAAAACAGCATGTCTTACAACCATTAACAATACTGCTCACGGAGTGTAATTTCATGGGAAAATACTTAGAAGGCACAGTATGATCAGACTGTACAAATGAATATTTGTCAGAAAAAAGACTATAAAGAATGACACCATAATGTTAAGAGTGGCTGTTTCTAAATGGGAAAAGTTTTCAATTAGCAATAATCACTCCTTGGATAAACCTCATTGGCTATGATATGGCCACTGCGAAAAGCTTCTAAATGGAGATAATGATAGATTTTTAAAAATTTGACTGTACTTATTTTCTACATTGAGAATGTATTACTTTTAAGTTTAGAAAAAAATAAAATTAGCCCGATATGGTGGTGCATGCTGTGATCCTAGCACTTGGGAGGCTGAGGCAGGAGGATTGCTAAGAATTCAAGGCCAGCTGGGCGTGGTGGCACACGCCTGTAATCCCAGCACTCGGGAGGCTGAGGCAGGAGGATCATTGCGAGTTCAAGATCAGCCTAGGCTACAAAGTGAGCTCAAGGTCAGCCTGAACTGCATAGTGAGACCCTGTCTCAAAAAGACAAAAAAAAAAAAATAATAATAATGTTGATTTTTTTTAAGGAAAGAAAACTACAGAGGATTTTGATACAAAATCCTGTACCAAGAACAGGAAGAATCTGATTGCCCTGACTTGTAAAAAGCTAGGACCTCAGATTTAATTGTCTGCATTTATCCCTGGAAAGACTTACAATTTGTATTCTCAGTCCCCATAAATAGTATCTACACCTTAATACTGTCCCTTTTCCACTTATGACACGGTATAGGGAAAAGGCTATAAAACAATTTTAAGTCCGCCTACTAAGAAAAGCAACATAGTTACATAATAAAGCCATCTGGTTACTAGTTAGAATGAATTTTGTAAGGTAATTTAAAAAGACAAAATGGTAATTCCCAACGTTCACTAGGCAGTTCTACGGAGGATTGTTGTGAAAATGGAGTAAGAGAACTTCTAAAGTACTGAGTACTGCTGGGGTGTGGTAGTGCACACCTATAATCCCAGCACTCAGCAGGCTGAGGTCAACTGACCTGGAGTTCAAGGTCATCTTGAGCTACACAGCATGCCCGTCTCAAAAAAACAACACAAAACAACAAAAAGTACCAAGTACCGCGTCCAGCTGAATCTTGGCAACTGACCATCGTACCACTTGCCACAATATTTTATAATTACTTGTTTGCACACCTGGGCCCCTCATAATCTCTGTCCTCTCAACCTCTGCCGCAGACTCTGCTGTGGGCTGCTCAGGACATTTAGTAAAAGCAGGACCCAGGTACTGGCTAAGCCTCCTTATTAGTCACTGGGCTTCCTATGTGCATCGGATGAGCTAGGAGAGAGTGACCATACATATTTTTAAAATAACCGGCATACAGATTTGCTCAGTGTGGTTGACCATAGCTTCATGTGATAGGGACATACCTCCTGGAGTATGTCTACTCACTGTGACAGAAAGCGAGCTTTATCGATAGGTTAAAGGGTTATGCATTCAGCCAAAATATAAACTGTGGCTTTCTAACAGCATCATATGTAGGAGGAAAAAGCTTTCCAATTAAAATGTAAAAGCACAGTACGAGATTCCTCCAGCTACTGCTTGAGGCTAGTCCCTTAATGTTCCCAGCCTGAGCCGCTGGAACATCTTCCACACTCATCTTCCTGCCTCCTGTCTTAGTCCTTCCATCTGTCCTTTAGGAAAATGAGTTTTTCTCAAATGTGGGTCCCCATGTCGCTTGCTCCTTCAATCCTGATGCTAAGTCTCAGTACCTACAGGAAGGGTTCAAACCTCAGCGTCCCGACACCCCAGCCCTGACCTCTGTCCCAGCACTTGTATATCCTCCTCCCAGACTGCTCGTACCCGCAGAAAGGCTCGAGTTTGATTCTTCACTGTGAGATCCTGGTGTCTGGCCAAGGGGTCTGACAAGACGGAGGGGATCAATACACACTTACTGAGCAGGTCCTAACAGACTAATGTGATATCCTGGTGGCTTCTGTGACCAAGAGGCTCACTCCGTGCCTTCGGTTCTTACCGAGAGAGCAGTTGCTCTGCATCCGCCCATCTGTGGAGCAGCGAAGCATGGAGCCTATCACCTGGCCCCCGACCACCACCACCCGGATATCTTTCCCATGCGACTCCTTCACGTATTTCTGGAACAGGTAGGGCACATCGTGGCGGATCAGATGGCAGATGTCTGAGAGGTGATGCTTGTCTCTTGCCAGAAAAACCGCTTTTCCTGTAAGTAGAAAGATGAAGAACAAGCAAAGTGGTTAGAGAGGCCTCAGGCCCCTGCCCTTGTCTCCTGTTTTCCTGTCTCCAACAGGCACCGGTGCTCTCTGCATCTGTCTTGCTCTGGTCTCTTCTTGCTCTGATGAGACTCTTGCTTTCTATCAAAATAAGGCCAATGAACCTTACTTTCTCTTGATTTTCCTCCAGTCTTAGTGCTGCTCACTCTCTTCCCTCACCAACAGCACCTTTTTTGAAATAACAGAATAATATATTCCACAAACACGGAAAAGGAGCCAAAATAAAATCCTAAGGAGCTCATCGGTTCTGTTTCAAAAGCAGTTAATTAGCATCTCCTGACACCCTGAGGATACTGAGTAGGCAGGATTCATGGCTACCTTTGTTTTAATTCCCCGGACCTTACACGGGGCTCAGAGCACAGGGCAGATGACGATCAGTATTTACAGAACATAATTAATTGAGCATGCTTTAAAGGAATCCCCAGTGTGGATGGAGAGCGATCCAAAAAAGAAAACTACAACCCAGCATAATGTGTGTTTAAAGAGATCTATGCAAAATGCTGTGGGCACTCAAAAGAGGGAGCTACTGACAGCTATCCTTCCTCCTTTTAAGAAGGAGAAACTTATATTATTAGGCTAGCCTCCGATGGGAACAGCCCATAGATCTGCTGCTCCCTAGAAAGGCCTTCCTTCTTGATTCTAAATTCTTTTTGTTTTTTTTTTTTTTTTTTTTTGGTTTTTCTCCGGTACCGGGAACCGAATTGATTCTAAATTCTTTATGTTGTTTGCTTTTGCAATTATTCAGTACCTGTTTTTCACCTGAGTATTAGTTAACAGCTCTGAATAGGGGTGTTCCTAATAGGCTTGCTCTGTGGATCTGACACAAGCATGCCCAGTCTGAGTATTTTTTCCTTCAAAAATGGGACAAAGAGATGGTTTTCCCACATTTCATGTCACCATCACAAAAGGAGTAGAACTCTTTTGAAGTCTTGATAAAAACAGCAATATGCATTAATCCCTACTGGCATATGGGATTGAAAAGTAAGCTCTAAAACATGCTATAACCAGTCTTCAGTCATTCCTGAAATGCCAGACCCCAGAAGCCCCAGAGAACTGGAGGGACTGGGGCAAGCGATCTGAGGATGTCAAGTGATCAGAGGGAGGAGGGTGCGCAGTTAAGGGGGCAGTCCGTGTCTGTTGGACACAGCCCCACAAGTGCGCACAGGAAGAAGAAACAGGACAGGCTCCAGAGAGTGGGCACAGGAGGAAACTGGAGAGACCTCAGCAAGTGGGCGTGACACCGCATCCGACTTATTCTAACCCGCAGTCACTGGGTGGAGGTGTACGCAGTTGGACTTTTGGCACCAGGAGATCCGGCATCTGGCAAGAAGCGGCTGGGGTTTAGTTAGGGGCACCACAGTTCTCTGACCTTAGGCAGGATTTTCAGCAGAGAAGGGCTAGGGTTTGGTTCCTGATATGGGGCCCAGTCTGCAGTTCATAAAGGAAGTACAGTTTTAAGTGAAGGAAGAAAAAAAAATGAAAGACACCAATCCTCTATCATATGCTAAGCACTTTTTGTTTTGCTATTTCATTTCTTTATACTTCAAACTGGCCCTGTGAGGTCATTACGACAAGGATGGTCACTCCTTAAGGAAAGGAGTGTCCAGCAGGCTGGGCACTGTCTCACGGGCACAGCGTTCACTGCCTGCCTCCTTTGGATTCACTTCCTTGCACATTCCGTCCCTTGTCTGAGGCTCCCCATCAGCGTATGCAACCAGCTGCAAGCCTTGCCATTACCCTGAAACAATACAGTTTGATAATTATTTATAGAACATCTACACTGTGTTACATTTTATAAGAAAATTGAAATAATGTAAAGTATACAGGAAATGTGTCTTAGTTATCTGCAAATACTATGCCACTTTCCAAAAAAAAATTCGAACATCTATAGACTTTAGTATCCTTGGGGGACCCTAGAACCAATCTTCCATATACAAAGGACAGCGATGGGGCTGGGGATTTAGCTCAGCGGCAAAAGCGCCTGCCTGGCAAGCGCAAGGTCGTGAGTTCGGTTCCCAGTACCGGAGAAAAACCAAAAAAAAAAAACAAAAAACAAAGGACAGCGACATGAGAGTCTCATTTAACTGCTGAAATTCTGTTTACTCCCTAGTCATTTTCCCTGCAAGATGCTAGGAGTTACACTAGCAAAGAATAATTTAAAAATAAGAACACAGTTCCATTTACAACAGTATCAAAAAGACTGAAGTATTTAGGAGTAAGTTTAAGTAAAGAAATATAAGATTTATACACTGAAAATTATATGGGAGAACAGCTCATGTTCATGAATTGTTACTCTTCAAATTGATCGAGCTTGGGGCTGGGGATTTAGCTCAGCGGCAAAAGCGCTTGCCTAGCAAGCGCAAGGTCGTGAGTTCGGTTCCCGGTACCGGAGAAAAACCAAAAAAAATTGATCGAGCTTGGTGTGGTGGTGCATGCCTGTAATCCCAGTACTCAGAGGCTGAGGCAGGAGGATCACCATGATTTCAAGGCCAGCCTGGGTTACATAGTGAGTTCAAAGCCAGCCTGAACTACATAGCAAGAGTCTGTCTCAGCAACACAAAACAAAACAAAACAAAACAAAACAGTAAAACAAAGCACACAGAGCTGGGTGTGGTGGCATACATCTATAGTCCCAGCACACTCAGAGGTGAAAGAAGGGGGATCACAAGTTCAACCCAGCCTGGGCAACTTAGTGACTTAGTGAGACCTTGTCTCAAATTAAAAAATAAAAAACAGTGGGGATATACAGGTTTGTACAGAGGCCTTGGGTTCAATCCCTAGCACCACAAGATACAAACAAACAAAAACATCGAAATCCAACAAAAAATAGCTAAACCAGACTTCACCAAAATAAAACACCTTTGTGGATCAAGACATCATCAAGAAATCAAAAACAACCTACAGAATGGTGAGAAAAATCTTCAAAATATATATCTAATAAAAGCTTAGTATTCACATTACTTAAAGAATATTTAAACTCAATAATATAAAAACAAAAATTCGAGTTTTAAAATTAGCAAAGGGGCCAGGGATATACCTCAGTGGCATAGCACCTGCCTGGCAAGTGCAAGGTCCCAAGTTTGATTCCCAGCACAAAACATAAATAAATAAATATATAAAATTAGCAAAGAATTTAAATAAACATTCCTTTAAAGATATAAAAAGAGCCCATAAGCACATGAAAAGATGCTAGACATCACTAGTCATTAAGGAAATACAAATCAAAACAATAATGAAGCTAGTTCGGTGGTGCGTGCCTATAATTCTAGCTACTTGAAAGGCTGAGGCAGGGCTGGGGATTTAGCTCAGCGGCACAGCGCCTGCCTGGCAAGCACAAGGTCAGGAGTTCGATTCCTGGTACTAGAAGAAGAAAAAAAAAAAAAAGGCTGAGGCAGGAGAATTCCAAATTTGAGGTCAGTCTATGCAATTTAGCAAGATCTTATCTCAAAATAAAACAAGAAAAGGGCTGAGGATGTAGCTGTAGTAGAGTATTTGCCTACCATCTACTATATACTAAACTGGTTTAATCCCTAGTCCCACCATCACCACCACCAAAAAAATATACATATATTTATCAGTTCATACCAACTAGGATGGCTATAAAAAACTTACATATATAAAACAAGAGTTGGCAAGGATGTGGAGAAAATGAGATCTTCATACATTGTTGGGGGTATGTATAATGGCATAATCACTGTAGAAAATAGTTTACAGCTCTCTAAAAGTTAAACACAGGACCCAGAGATTCCATTCTCAGGTATCTACCCAAGAGAAATGAAAATGCATGCTCAAACAAACACCTGCACACAAATATTTATGACAACACTACTCATAATGGTCACAAACTGAAAACAACCCACATGTCTAGCAAATGATGAAAGATAAAACCCGGTGTATCTACATAATATCACTGAGTCCTGAAAAGGGACGGAACAGTGTTACACGGCACAACATAGATAAACCCTGAAAAGCTGCTAAGAAGCCAGACACAGAAGTTTATATATTATATGAATCCATTTATATAAAATGTCCAAACCAGGCAAATCCAGAAAGACACAAAGTAGAACAGTAGGTGCTGGGGACTGGGCTGGGGTAGTTAGGACTAACTTCTAATAAGTACAAGGTTTTTTTCTGAGGTGATAGAAATGTTGTGAAATTAACCTGGTAACTGCTGTAAAACACAGTGTATATGCTAAAATCCACTGAATTTTATACTTTATGGTGGTAATTTTTATGTGGATTATATCTCAATTTTGAAAACTTAAAAAATATTACGCATTTTGTTTAATTTCCACTTTTAGTCAGCCATACCTTTCTACAATGTAAGCTGCTTGAGGGGAAGAATTTTTGTTTGGTTCTTATCTGTATCCTCAGTCTAGACTCAGTAATACCTGATACTCTAGGTACTTCACAAGTCTTAGCTGCGTGTTATGTTACACACATTTTACAACTTTTTTTTTCCGGTACCGGAAATCGAACTCATGACCTCATGCTTGCCAGGCAGGCGCTGTGCCACTGAGCTAAACCCCCAGCCCTCATTTTACAACTTTTAACAAGCAGAGACTGTACCTTAACACAGCAGCGTATGTGCAACCCGAGGAGGAGCTCCACTCTGCCCCCAGGCTCCCGGGGCTTGCTCCTCAGCAGCCCCTCCTCCACAGGTCCTTTGCTCATGCCCGCTTCATACGCTACTCACTCATCTCCTTCAGTTCAGCCTCCTTTTCTTCCAATGAAGCATTTGGGGCAGAGTCGGCAGTCCCTCCCTCAGGCTCAAATGGGCCCCGGATGTCTGCTGCAGGGCTCAACACCCAGTGACGGCGCTGTCTCTACTGCTGGCTGGTCCAGTGCTATGGCACAGCCCTTACTGAGCAGTGACTGCCATTAAACATCCATTTGGGGCTCCCTCCCTCACTCCAGGGTACACTCTACCATCCGGGTTTCACAATGACGGACCCATTCACACTGAAGAAGGGCTGCTTCCTCTGCTGATGTCCCTAGGAGTCCCCACCACGCACCCCGCTGCAGCAGGCATTACAGAGGCAGGTGCTCAGGACCCGACCCCCACTGCCAAGCAGCTCACGGTCTATGAAGGGAACAGGCGCTTCACACTGCCATGGAGCGCGGCACTATCTAGAGGCCTGTGCACAGGCTACAAAAACAAAAGGGAAGAGCAATTACTTTTGTCTGAGAGCGAGGGAGACCAGGGGTGTGTGTAGAAAAAAAATGACTTGGGAGCTGGCTGAAAGGATGAGGTGAAGTCCAGCAGGTGGACAAAGGAAGGGGGCCCTGCCAGCCCAGGCACGAGAGCACGCGTTTAAAGAGAGGACAACAGTCTGTCTGGCAAGCGAGCAGTACGCAAGGGGGACGGAGGTTCACACGGGCACAGAAGGCTGGGGAGGAAGGCTGTGTCTGTCTGCACCGGGCCTTAGGGCTGTGCCAGGGAACGCGGGCTTTGTCCACCAGGCAGCACAGGAGCTTGGAACGGCTGTTCAGCAAGGGAGGAACAAGACTAGACTGCACGTCTCAGAGAAATTACTCACAAAAGGAACAGAGGATGCCCTGGAAGTGGAGGTAATGAACCAACTGGTCAAGGCAGGAGTCTGCTGCAGGAGGTAGAGGGTCTGATAAAGGAAAGGACCGGTGGGGCGGGGTCCGAGCAGAGGGAACAAGGAGAACCACACTGCGCTCCCCAAGCGCTGCGCCCACGAGTGGGTGTCTTGTGCAGCTGAGCTGCAGCCCTGGCGGACTCAGGACCCAGAAAGCGAGGAGCAGCACTGACCCTGGTTGCCTCGTGTGCTCTTCACCACGACCGGGTAGCCCAGGGGCTCAGCCTCATCAATCATTTTTGAAAAGTCGTCATGTCCACCTGGCAAAAAAAAAGGCAAGAGTCAGTGAAAGTAAGACTGCTGGCCCCTGTGGAAACTCAGAAGGCCTCATATGTCACATCACTCTGGTTAAAGCGATTCCAACGAATTTCATCCAACAGACAGGTGCTATACACCTGTAATGTAAAAAGTGGGAGCAGAGAGGTAAGGAAACCCACATCTATCAAGCACCTTCTATATGGTGAAAGGAGCACATGCTGCAGTTCAAGGAATCCTCACAAAAATCACACAATAGGTGGCGTTTCCTTCACAATGGCCATGATAGGCAGAATTCTAGGATGGCCCCCAAGATCCCACACCCTGGTGAATATTCCTTGTAGAATTCCTCTTGAATATGGGAGGAACCAATGAGTATGTAGGGATATCGTTCTTGTGATTTAATAATTGACTGACTTCAAACTGTTAAATGGGAGATGATCCCTGGTGGGCCTGACTTAATCAGGTAAGCCCTTAAGTGAAGGTAAAGCACCAGACTCTTCTGCTGTCCTTGTGGAAGCAAACTGTCACACTGCAGAGAGGGCCGTGTGGCAGGGGAGAGCGAGCAGCTCATAGGAACTTAAACTGCCCACAGTTGATACCAATAAAGATGTGGGAACCTTGGACCTATAACTGCAAGGAACTGAACACCAATACTAAGTCATTTGGGAGGTGGGGACCCAAACCTCAGCAGAGACTACAGCCCCAGCCTGGTGAGACTCTGCTGGCTGGACTTCTGACCCACGGAGACTGAGAGATAATCTACCAGTGTTTGTTAGCTGCTAAGATTTATGCAGCAGAAGAAAACCAGTCCCCAAAGGAACACATCTGGAGTTTGTCTCACCAAGGTAAGGCATGCCTCCAAAGCTGCACCTCGTTCCACTACAGCATTTACGCTTTAATTTTAAAAATACAAAATGTTTCTAAAGTCTGCTAAGCTTCCTTGGCTCCCTACTCATACGGTATGGCTCACACAGGATAAACATGATGAACGTTAACAACCGCACTCCAGGGCCCCAGGGACAATGTCTGCTCTCTGTTTAATGGTACCCAGCTGGCACCTTTCTGCTTGGTGGGCCTGCTTTTCAATGGCTGTCACCTCCCTCGCGGGAAGGGCACTGCCAGTATTTCTCATTGCGGTCAGCACAGGCCCAGAGCTTCTCTGCCCGTTTCTTCTCCCCAAGGGCTTAGAGAGGACAAAACCACCTGTGGGATGACCTTCCCTGCAGAGGGGACACTGGCCTCCAAATGAGTCTGAAGGGCTTTCTTGTCTGTCAGGTGAAGGGACATGTGCTAGGATTTGTGATGCACGCTGAAGTTGCTGCGGGGTCCCTTTGGTTTACTTCCCAGTTCTCAACAACGTGCTGGAGAGATGTGTTTTATAGGTACATTAGGTGATGCAACAGTTCTCCAGTGTAAAAATGACACGTTATTGTACTAACAACTTGGCAGTTTAAACTCAAATATATGGTCTTACAGTTCTGCAGTTAGAAGTCTGAAATGGGTCTCTCTAGGCTGAAATCAAAGCACCAGCAGGCTGCATTCCTAAGACAGAATCTGTTTTTGTGCCCTTCCCAGCTTCTGGAAGCCACTCACACTGCTTGGCTCCTGGACCTCTTCTATCTGCAAAGGAAGCAGTGTCGAAGTCCTCACATCTCCTCACTCTCCTTCCACAACATGCCTCTCCTTTTCCTTTTAAGGATACTTATTACCTTCAACCTACCTGGGTAATTTAGGAGAATCTTCCTATTTAAGGTCATCTGATTAGCAACCTTCACACCATCTGCGACCTTCATTCCCTTTTGCCATATAACCCAGCACACAGGCTCCAGGGCATCTTTAAGTCATGGGTGTCTTTGTGAATTCATTATTCTGCCTAGCACAGATGATATCATAGCATAACAACTTCTGCAAAGCAAAACACTTTGGAATAATAACAGGAGCTACCTTGTTTACCCAAGTATAAAGGATTGCTTTGAAAATGTAGGGGCAGGTAGGTAATTGGGGGCATCTTCCTGAAGAGGATGTTTTGTAAAAAGGAAACTCCCAACTTCCTAATATCCCACTCACAAATTTAATTCTTCTAGTCTTCCTTTAGTCCTTCTCTGCTGATGCGGGGAGAGTGAGGGCCTCCTGATCAAATGCAACGCCGCCCCTGTGCTTCGGGCTGCTTTCCCAGGGATCTTGCACCATTAAAGTATCCCCTTCTGCTGTATCGTCAGCCTCAGGGCTAATTTCATCAGTGTTTTGAACATGCTCAGTTCTCTTCCACGTGAAATAAAGTCTCTGTTCCCCAGCCCTGCATCTTCCCTGCACTACAGTGCCGAACACCAGCCCACAAGTTGCTTGAAAGAGTTACAGAAACCAACTAGCTCCATACCCTCCCCTCCCCTCAGCCCCTCCTCCTGACAGTGGGCCTTCTCTCCTCACCGCAAGGTGGATGCTGTGTTCACTAAACCCCCCCGTTGCCAACACCTCAGTGCTTACACGATTTGTCCTTCGGGAGTCACGCGCCCCTAGTCATGCCACCCTTCTCGGGACCGTCTTCCCGCTGGTTTCTATGGCCTCTCTTCTTTTCTTTCTCTCTCTGCTCTCAACATGTGCCTAGTTTATTTCATAGGTTCCCCTTTTTTTTAACCATTCACTCCCTAAAGGATTCCCTCTTTTATTACTTAATTTTCTATTGTGGTAAGATATGTAAAACGTAAATGGTATCCCTTCCATCCCTGCAAGCGTGTGGTTTAACCACGTTTCTTTTCATTCTTTCTGTTCTCACTGAGTACTATCACCCATCCCCGTGATTTTGCTTAATATAACACAGGTTTCCAACTCCCCCTGCCTAGTCCGCACGTCTCTCAGGCTCCCATTTACCATTACCTACTAAGTATGGTCACTTGCACAGACTGTAGACATCTCAAACAGAACCTGTCTCAACCTGAAAGCTTCTCCCCCTCAAAACCACTCACCCGCTAACCTCACCACCAATCTGCTCCTCTTCGCCCGTTCTTCTAGCCTCAGGGAATGCCTGCCTCCCGCGCTGGCTGCTCCAACCAGAAACCAGTCGCTTGATTCCTCTCCGCAGTCCCCATACCCAGTCAATCACCATATGCTATTATTTCTGTGCCCTTCCTAATCCCTGCATCGGCTCACTTACCTTCATTTTCACTGTAATTTTTGGACCACTGTTGCTCACTCAGATTATTTCAAAAGCCTATAATTACCTATCCTGTCTCTACTTCGCCCCACCCAATTCCTTCTCCATGGTGTGGCCAAAGTGATCATCTATACTGTGACTCTGATTAGGGCAACTTCCCGACTAAAGCCCTCAGTATCTCCTTCACATGCTATCTATGGCACCTTCTTGTCTTCCTAATCTTTGGGCTTTTAAAAATTTGTTTGTTTTTGAGACAGGGTCTCACCATGTAATCTAGGCTGTCCTTGAACTCATAGTGACCTCTTTGCCTCACCCTTCCAAGTGTGGGGATTACAGGCAGGTACCACCGCACCAGTTGGTTTCCCCAATCTTTTGTTTTGTTTTGTTTTTTGAGACAGGGTCTGGCTATGCAGTTCAGGCTGCCTTGAGCTCACTTTGCAGCCCAGGCTGGTCTCGAACTTGCAACGATCCTCTTGCCTCAGCATCCCAAGTGCTGGGATTACAGGGGTGCGCCACCATGTCCGGCCAGATGCGTATTTAGTGAGTGACCCACATACAGAAAGAAGCAAAGTCACTTCAGAGAGAATGGCCATGATCCAGGCTCAAGATGTCCTATCATCTAAGATGGAGACTCATACTGAAAGGCAACAAGAAAGACTAGGTTTCTGTCGGGGGAGAGAAATCATACACATGCAAGTGGTTGGAAAGATAAATTCTGACTGCCGTTTAAGGACTTACCATACGAGAAGGTGTCTGGCATGGGGACCCCGTGTCCAGCCAGCTCTTGGAATGTCCAGAATTTGTTGATGCAGTTTAAGATGCTCTGTGAGCTGTTGACCAAGCGGCAGCCCAGCTTCTCCAGGTGCCTCAGGACAGTGATGTCACTGTCCGACTGCACGGAGGGCGTGGACACCCGCACGACCACCACGTCTGGGAAGGTGGTAAGGGCCTTCTGGTTCAGCTGCAGGCCTGCAACCCAAGGACCAGAGTGAGTGCTGTGCTTGCCATTGCTGAGTCCCCAGTAACAGCCCCCAAGGTACTCCTCCAGCCCGAACCTGGGAGAAACAGAGCCTCAAAAGCAGCCACCTGGATACTGTAGTGCACGTCACAAGAAAACACCATTGTCAACCCTGCTCGCCAAGCAGATGGCCAGAGCATGATTATGAGGAAACACAGAGGAGCAGACAGAAAGGGGGAAAAGCAATAGATCAAGGTTAGCCTAAACTAGAAAGATCCACAGGAGAAAAGTATTCCAACACCTTCCTTCCACAAAGTACTATTGTTACTCAGAAGTACAGTGGCTGAGGAGGCTAAAGCCTTAATAAAGAGGCAACAATGGAGCCCACTTATGGAATCTCTGCCACTTTATGATTGATTGATTAACTGACTGACTGATTGATTTTTTTTTGTCTCTTTGAGACAGGGTCTCACTTTGCAGTTCAGGCTGGCTTTGAGCTCACTTTGTAGCCCAGGCTGGTTTCAAACTCACAACGATCCTCCTGCCTCAGCCTCCGGAGTGCTGGGATGACAGGTGTGTGCCACCATGCCCGGCATGATTTAATTTAAGAAAGTCTAACTGGCATATTACATAGCCATGTAAATGATTTTTATGAATATACTGTTTGATATCAAATGTATAAATAAGCAACAAAAATGGACAACGGGATACAAAATTATAATCTCAGCTATGTAAATAGATACAAGTTGGAAAATGCTAACGAAAAATACACCAGCATTTTAACAGTGGGCAGTGGGATTACATGTAATGTCTCCTTTATATTTTATAATTTATAGTTGTATTTTTCAGAATTTCTTCATGAGCATATTGCCTTTATAAGACTAAGTCTACTAAAATCAATTTAATTCAATGTATAGAAAATATTGAACTGGATATTCAACATTAAAATTAACTGAAAGATAGAGCAATCCATACAGCGAGAAGACCTGGAGCTACGTTACACTGGGTTAACTGGAGTATTGGTCCCATGAGAAGACTCAGAGGACCCAGAGCATAGCCTTGAAGTTACCAAAGAACAACTGTGCAGAAGGATTACACGGCTTATCTTTGATGTCTCCGTGAGATGGAGCTAGCTGGAAGAGCATTATTTCGTCTGTGTCTTTTCTAGCCCCTCCAACACTGCTTCATGTATGGCAGGCACCCGATGTTTGTGGAACTAAACAGAAACTACAGGGAGATAGTTTCAGGCTCAAAAAATGGATACTCTTCTACTCCCTTAGATGGAATGGGCTGAGGCTCACGGATCACTCAAGGATGACAGAGAGGGAAAATAAGACCAGGACGGATCAGCAGCGTGGCTGGTGCTCCTCGGGCCTGAACTCACATGGCTTGTCTGACTCTCAACAGTCACCTGGTCATTTATAATGACACCTCAGCATCTGGGGGTGGAGGGGCGGAGACAAGACATGGGAATGGTGGGCCCTTAAGAAGTGTGTACAAGGCATTCCTGGGGCTGCCTCAATGAACCTTAAAGGAGTTTCCAAAACACACTGAAGAAAACCTTTAAAACGTAACTTACAGGTCCACCCTACAGACTTCAACTTAAAGCTCCCTCTGTTTCATAAGTGACAGGCTGTGCAACCGTGTAATTCCACAAAAACAAAGGTGCTAAGGAAGTTGTAATTTTTCCACCAGGGAGGAGCACTATCAGTAACAATGCTTTAAAACTGAGAAAGGAGAAAAATAAACTCTAAGTACAAAAACAAAGAGCACTTACAAAACGACTGCATGGCTCTAACTTACACGCTTCCTCCGTTCTCAGTGTTTTGCTGATTAAAAGAAGGTGGGAGGAGGATGCGGAGGTGCAGTTATCACAATACATTGTTTTTAGAACTCCTGCTAAGAAAGAGAACCCAAGCAGGTAGAGCATAGCTCTCAGAGATAGTACGTAAACAGCATCCAGGTTATCTTCACTTTCCCATCAGAAAACAGAATCATTTATATATGCTTTTACTGTTCTATGAAATTTTTTTGCCACCTTTGGCCTTTGGGGAAAATAAAACAAAGGAGGTAGGGAGTAAGCAATGCATGGTATCCTCAAGGTTAGAAGAAAGAAGAAAGACAAGTTCCCAGGTTGATGAAAATGGTGAGTAACTACAGATCAGCAGGACAGCATTGCACAGTGAGGTAATAGAGGCAAAAATGTTTTGAAAACCATAAAATGCTATACACACGCAAGGCACTTGCATTATTATTACGCAGACATTCTACTAAGCAAGGTAGGACAATTTATGCAGATTTTCACTACCTAATGAGAAAAACAGCTTTGCAACAGAAAAGTGACCTAGAGAAGCAAGAAGCAGCGAAAACATCTGGCTTTCAAATCCCAACACAAGACCACAGACAAACAGACTTCTAAATGGGAAGGAAAGAATTCAGTCCATTTCTGGAAATACCAACCACAAGTGCACAGAGACAGCTCAGCCTCAACAAGCAGATTCACATACACCTAGGAAGTCTTACCAGGACTTCATTTCTCTTCTCCAAAGGTAAATCTTTGGGCCTGGCTCATTCCAACTGAAGCCCTTAATAAATGAAGAATGGAATGGGTTAAAGTGGAGCCGAAAGGCTCAACCGAGCAGTTAAGACAGGTTTGATGTCTGACTGCGCTGCTGTCCAGCTCTGTGCAGAGCATATGATGGATTTAGGCACATGTGCCAAACTAATTATAGCCAACCCTATATATCCACAGGCTCAACATCTGTGGATACAATAAACTGCAGATAGGGTGTACCCAAAAATTAAGTCTGCATCTATACTGAACATGCAGAGATTTTTTTTTACCCTTGCTCCATAAACAATACAGTATAACAACTGCTTATGGGGCTGAGGGTATAGTTTGGTGGTAGGACACTTGCCAAGCATGGGCAAAACACTGGGTTCAGTCCCCAGCACTAAAAAAAAGAAAAAAAAGGCAATAAATACATAGAATTTACATTGTACTGGCTCTTGTAAGTAATTTGGAGAGTTCCGGGTACCAGGAAAAAAACAAAAAAACAAAAAAAACAACAGTAATTTGGAGAGAATTTGAAGTACACAGGTGGATGTGCACAGGTTATATGTAAATACTGCATCATTCTATACAAGGGACTTGGGCACCCCTGGATTTTGGCGCGGAGGGAGAGCCTAGAACGCCCTCTGCAGAGCATCCTTTCGACATTTGTGCTCTGAGCAACGTCTCTTGCCCCTGCTCATTCCCCTTGCCTCCGCCTTCACGTTTCGGGAATGTAACTTCTGGCAGATAAGAGGTTGTCGCTTGGTGTGGCTTCAGTGCGAGCTGCAGTTGCAGCACACATGATCAAGAGATCAGGAATAATTTGGGTGTAAGAATGGCCACTGGTAAACCTGTTTACGAATTCTGAGCCACTTAGTCACTTAAGCAATCTCAAGCGCTCTCTCGCACTTTCTCTCCCTCCCTCCCTCCCCATTAACATCTCCTTTTAGGAAAGGATCTAGTAAGTTTAACACAAGAGACAGTTTATTTAAGATGTCCCCTTTTCCCGTGTTATGGTTCAGACCTGGCACTATGCTCATTGGTGGAACGGTCTACTGGCGAGTTCACAGCTGACTTGCTGTGGGGAGATGGGACCTGGTCAGAAGAGGCACTGGGGCATCATCTGGAAGGGTGCATCTCCCTCCCCAGTTGCTCCCTTCTCTCTGTTTCCTGGTTGCCATGACATGAGCAGCTTTCCTCCACCATCCTATTTCTGCATTGGAGCTAATGGACCACGGACTGTTACCATGAGCCAAAAATAAACGTTTCTTCTTTAAGTTGTGGGTGTTGGGTATTTTGTCCCAGTGACTTGGAAAGTAACTAAGACACCCAGAATCCTTCACATTCCCACTGTGATCTACAGGCTTCATACCAATGAAATGCTCTACAGGACATGACGAGGACGAGGCCCCCTTGGCTGCAGTGAGAGAAAGGAAAGCCCTCAGCAGTGCACGAGTGGCCTCACCCTCAGGGAACAAGGGATTGTATGTGATTCGGCATCACTTTTACTTAGGGAGGTGGGGAAGAAGCTGAGCTGCGTCTGGGATACTTGGGGAGCCCCAGACTCCTGAACTGGGCTCAGAATTTACTATGTTTAGCCTCAAACTATTTTTTAAAAAACGTAAAATGATCTCTCTGCCCCAGATAGGTCAATAAGATATTAACAGAAAAAAAGATTATAAGACTCAAAACTAATTAATACAATGATGAACAACCAACACAGTCTAAACTGTTTGAAACCAAAACAATATTTTCTCCACCTCACTTTGGGGTGGCGGAACTGGGGATTGAAGCCACAGCATTCACACTGGGCTATATCCCTAGTACTTTTTTTTCCTTTTTGAGAAAGGGTTTTGCTGAGCTGTCCAGGATGGTCTCGGACTTGTGATCTTCCTGCCTTCACTTAACAGAATGCTGAGATTACAGGTGTGTGTCACCATGCCTAGATTCCATTTGGCTTTTAAGAAGAAGAATCCACTTTCACATGTATTGTTTTCTTTTCTTTTCTTTTTGGTATTGGGAATCAAACTCATGACCTTACACTTGCTAGGCAGGTGCTATGTCATTGAGCTATGTCCCTGGCTCTTTCACAGGTAACTATGTTCTAATTTTTTTGAACCTTCTATATTTGGAAATATTTTAATATATTAAAGACAATATAGCAAAGCTGGGTGTAGTGGCATATGCCTGTAATCCTAGCATTTAGGAGGCTGAGGCAGGAGGATTGCCATGACTTCGAGGACAACCTGGGCTACACAGTGAGTTCAAAGCTGGCCTGAAATGCATAGTGAGATCCTGTCTCAAAACAGAACAGAACAAAACAAAACAAGCCCAAAAAATACAATATAGCAAACTAGAGTAACTTTTCCCAATGATTAAATGTGTGTTTATAATCCATGTATCAGGATAAAACTCTACAAAATGACTTTTGCTTTTGTATGTGCAATAGCAAAGAAA